CTATTCACAATAGCAAAGACTTCGAATCAACCCAAATGTCCATCAGTGACAGATTGGATTAAGAAAATGTGGCACATATACACCATGGAATACTATGCAGCCATAAAAAAGGATGAGTTTGTGTCCTTTGTAGGGACATGGATGCAGCTGGAAACCATCATTCTTAGCAAACTATCACAAGAACAGAAAACCAAACGCCGCATGTTCTCACTCATAGGTGGGAACTGAACAATGATGTTCCCCTTCCTGAGTCCAAGTGATCTCATTGTTCAGTTCCCACCTATGAGTGAGAACTGAACAATGAGATCACTTGGACTCGGGAAGGGGCACATCACACACCGGGGCCTATCATGGGGAGGGGGGAGGGGGGAGGGATTGCATTGGGAGTTATACCTGATGTAAATGACGAGTTGATGGGTGCAGCACACCAACATGGCACAAGTATACATATGTAACAAACCTGCACGTTGTGCACATGTACCCTACAACTTAAAGTATAATAATAATAAATAAATTAAAAAAAAAAAAAAAAGTCAACTATACTCATGCCACTAACAACATTCCCCGCTTTCCACTTCTTAGGTCAACATTTGTTTTTCTAGTATTGCTTGAACATTTAACATTATTGAATAGCTTAGTGTTTTGTGGATTGCATCATCTCTTGCTTTAATATTCCTTCTGAAGCCTTAATGAACAGAGAAACCTAAAAATAATCCTGTGTGGCTGCTTTTTTGGTACCATAAAAATCCTTAATTCAATAAGTATTTATTGAGTCAATTGTGCACTAGGCACTGTTTAGGCACTTTCATTACCTCAGTAAACAAAAAAGAAAGAGAAAGAAATATAACTTTCCTGCAACTTACATTCTAGTAGAGAAAGCCAGATAATTAACAATAAACACAATATATAACTGAACTATATGTTAGTTGGTAAGTACTATAGCTAAAACTGATCTTGGGAAGGGAATAGGGTATGGTGGGAGAAGGGAAGGGTGGGAGCAATTTTAAAGAGAAAGTGAAATTTGAGTAGAGTTTTTCAAATCTACACTTTATTCCTTTGACTCAGCATAGTTCTTAGAAAAGATTCCTCCACTGTACCACTTCTAAGCCTGACTAATGAAGTGTGACAGCTTTAAATGGGATTAACTGCTTGCCTTTCAGAGTTTTCTTAGGCTGAAATATGGGGTCTGAGGAGCAAGATTTGCTGAAAGAACTAGAGATAATTACTCAGTTTAGCTTGGCTGATGTCACAGGCCCTGTGACTAGAGGCGTATCTATTCTGTCTGGTGTCCTATAAACATGCACTGTACCATCGTCACTTAACACGACTTTACATTGTTGCTGGACACATAACTCTTGCTTAAAATACTGTGGACACTGAGAACAGATTTGTATAATGCTATGGTAGGAAAATATCTGCCTTAGATAGACATAGCAACAGAGGATGTCAAAACAATTTTATAAATATGTAAGCTTCTCAGACCATGAAAAGTGAAGTTTTAGCTCATATTCTCTGCCTAACAACCTACTGCCAACTGAACAGTCCTCCTAAACATATTGGCAATAAAGGACAGAATATCATTTCATAGTTATCACTTAAACATTGACTCAGCAGCTTAATTTTGTTTTCAATAGGCAAAATATAATTCATAAGTTAATTATTACAATCGTTTAACATTTTTGAACAACAGAGAAAAGAGAATGTTCTAAACTTTTAGTTCTGAATGTTTACATATAAAGATAATGGTAGACTTGCACATTATAAAAGTTATTTGCTCTACAAATTATTATTTTCATCAATAAATTTAAATTATAGACTGGGCACAGTGTCTCAAGCCTGTAATCCTAGCACTTTTGGAGGCAGAGGTGGGTGGATTGTCTGAGCTCAGGAGTTCAAGACCAGCTTGGGCAAGATGGCAAAACCCCATCTCTATTAAAAATACAAAAAAAAAAAAAATTAGCCAGGCGTGGTATTGCATGCCTATAGTCCCAGCTACTCAGGAGGCTGAAACAGGAGAACCGTTTGAACCTAGGAGGTGGAGGTTGTGGTGAGCAGAGATAACGCCACTGCACTCCAATATGGGCAACAGAGAGAGACTCAGTCTCCAAATAAATAAATAAGATACACTCTTATTGGAAAAAGTTATACTATAATTAAGGGACGAATTTTGTTTTGTATAAAGTCTTAAAAAATAGAAAAGAGTTGACGTTTTGTATTTCACTCAGCAGGAGATCTGAGACAGGAATGCCCAGTATGGGCAACAGAGAGAGACTCAGTCTCCAAATAAATAATAAATAAATAAATAAATAAATAAGATAAACTCTTGTTGGAAAAAGTTATACTATAATTAAGGGACAAATTTTGTTTTGTAAAAAGTCTTAAAAAAAAGAAAAGAGTTGACGTTTTGTATTCCACTCAGCAGGAGATCTGAGACAGGAATGATGAGGAAATTCTACAGGTAACACGCTATGTAGTTTCAAGTCAGACATCCTTATGTTATAAGATTGAAAAGGCTGAGAAGAAACCCAGTAATGAAACCATTTGGTAAAGTCATTACGTAAGCCCAGAATCGAATCTTGAGTCAGAAGAAAGCCTCATAGTTCCAATATGACACTAAGTTTAATCTATTAACCTACAACTAAATCATTAATCCTGAAGTCAAGAAAGTGAGAGGCAGATGTCCTCAAGTTTGAATGTATCTCAGAGTTAAATATATGGGGAAAAAAGAATAAAAATAGAAGTTTTCTTCTTCTGCCATAAACTAAGGAAATGAAGTTTCAATAAAGAAATTGAAAATTGTTCTTCGTAAGACTGTATTTACTTTTATTTGTCAATCAGCAAATGCAAATGGCAGCACTGGGAACCAGCAGAGAGGATAAAAGGAAGGAGCTATAAGCCTCAATATAATTTTTGAAAGAGCTATGAATTAAAGTGTCACATTGTTACTATTTACTAATGGAATAAAAATTATGGGGAGGGGAAGCTTGAGTTTCAGCCAAATGGTGACTTGACTCTCCTAATTATTATGTTATAATCTTTTATCTTAATGCCTCACATACATTCTTTCTCCTGGGAACTAAAGATGTCAGGGGTGGGGGTGTGTGTGTGTGTGTTGTGGTGTACAAACCCACAGACATATAACTAGATAAGCCCATATACATAGATGATCAATGAAGAGATATGTAAAGCATCAATAGAAGGTTGTACAATGAGTATTAGTCTTCGGTTTCCAGTGATTTGCATAAAATATGAAATTCTGAAGTTTTGGAGAATACAATTGTAAATGTATGACTTTTGTTCTTGCTCTAATATGTACTGTGCCTGTAATAAAACTTGAAGTCCTGAAAAAGAAGAATTCTCCATTTCTCATCATTCATGATACCTAATAATGTGCATTATAACTGGCTTATTCGATATGATCCTAGTAAAATGATCCTATGGGTAAAGTAGATTTAAAAAGAAAGGTTAACCAAAAATCTGAAAGGAGTTCCCAAATTACAAAGAATTCAATTATATATTGAATTGCTATTTCTACCAATGTGCATTTTGATGCTTATTTTATCAAAGAATTTTTGTTATTGTTGTATTTTTGAGACAGGGTCTCATTCCGTCAGTCAGGCTGGAATGCAGTGTCATGATCACTGTTCAATGTAACCTCAACCTCCTGGGCTCAAGCAATTCTCCCGTCTCAGCCTCCCAAGTAGCTGGGACTACAGGCACCATCATGATCAGATAATTCTTTTTTTCTTTTTTTAAGGAAACAGGGTCTCGCTATGTTGCCTAGGCTGGTCTTAAACTTCTTGGCTTAAGTGATCTTCTTGCCTAGGCCTCCCAAAGTGCTGGGATTACAGGTGTGAGCCACAATGCTCGCCCTATTTTATCAGTAAACTTACACTAGCCTCGATGGCATAAAGAAGATTTGCCTTAAAACTTTTATTATTTTATTATTTAATCCTAATACTGTTGTTATGTTTAAAGGAAAATTTGCATTAATTTGCATATACAAGCTGAGTGTCCAACAAATGAAGAATAATTTAACATCTCCAACATATATTACACTGTTTTAAATTCTAAAAGTTACTGCAAAGGTCAACAGAAATTATTTTGCAGCCTCATTTATGCTGCCAGAGGTGAGCATGAGACAAAGCTACTTACCTCTAAGGTGAATGACAGCACCACGTCGGACTTTGACAGCTGAATCTCATTCTCATCTCCTATGTCCAAAAATGCAGAGTTCTGTGAACGTTTTAATTTTTGTAATTTAAATTCTGGACCACCTTTCGAAACTGGAAGACTTTCCAAATTGGCCATTAGCAAATTCACCGAAGACCGCAACTCTTCTATATACATATTCTCCATATCTTTTGCTATAAATTTGGGGAATTTTCTTTCCTTGAAAATAATTTTTAAAATAATAGTGTTACATAAGTCATATTTCAATTTCATCATTAAAAAAATTGTATGATGTATATACTTTGCTGTCTCAGAAATTACAACACCCTCAACATATCTACCCTACTTCAGTCACTAGGCTTTAAAATCCTCAGGCTTTGGCATTTTTTATTATATCTAAGGTACTTCAGATATCTTATTGAGGATCATTGCAGTACAAAATGAAAAAATCACATATATTTTCACATTAACTTTATTTGTGATAAGATCTGCTTAAGGAAAAACAAACTCCAAAAACATGCATGGAAGATATTTTAGTGTATAGATGAACCTTAGCCACTAGTAGCTTTGCAATGCTTGAGATAACTGGTCTATAAAAAAAATTCAGGACACACAGATTTGCCAGTTAGGAAACAAACATTTTAACAATAGCCCTATTTCTTACCACAGATATACATTGTTGGAAGGGTATGCTTTTCCATAAATAGGCATTAAAAACTCACATTATTGAAGAGTGATATGGTCATATTTCTAAAATTAGTAAATTTTCACATTAATGTGCCAAGATCTCTTGTGGCTATAAATTCAGTTTTTTACTAAAGGCTTAGAAAAAGTTTAAAGCAAAAGGAAATTTATGATAAAAACTATCAAGGGAAAAAGTAACAATATCAATTTGGAAGATTCTATTTTCTTGCTAAATTATATCAGCATTGTCATTCAATAATTTTAACTCTGCAATCAGATTTGTTTCTTCTGCTCAATTAAAAGGACATTCCAAATATTGATATTTACCAAATCATTCTTTGGTAGTGCCAAATCATTCTTAGAGAAGATTATAATAAATTTATATTCCCCAGAACAGCAAATGAGAGCACTTTGTTCCCTCACATTCTTGGCTCTTTCTTTAATGTTTGCCAACCTGGCACTTAGGTTTTCTCTCTTAAAGACAGAGGGTATATAGTTTTACAACATGAAGCCTAGTGTAAAATGACCACCACTGCATAGAACTGGCCGGAGGATGAAAGCCTAAAGCGGCCATCTTTCAAATGACTGCTGAATGCTCCAGCACAGCCTTTACGTTTTCTCCCTTGACATCATTCAAAATCTAACCTAAGAAATCTGCATTACTAGTACAGCTGGAAAGCATCCAGCGTGCTCTTGTCAACCTGCATCTAGTCTCTGACTTACTTGCACCAGTTCGTTCATGGGATGGGAAGGAACATCTGGCACCACTTCACAGATCAGTCCCAGAGTCGCAGGCCACCTGTTTTTCTTTTCCCCCAATATAACCTTCATATATTTCTTTTTAAAATAATTTAATCAAAATTAAAATTGCATAATGTCACAGATTAAATATCTATATTAAAAATTAACTTTCCCAAAGAAGGTTCTTAAGTATCCTTTTAAAACTTCTCTACAGTTTGAAGCAACATTCCAAAATAGCAAATTTGTATCCTCAAAAAAACAGGCAACTACCCAGCTATAGAATACCTGGGTTTCCTTTAGTGGGGTGGAGGAGGGAAGGAATTGTCTTTAGAATAATTTTTCAGTATAAGCAAAGAGAGGGGAAAAAAGCAAAACGATCCATAAAAAGCATATTTTATTTTTTGGACTAACTTTAAGGCTGTCAGAAAAAGCATCCAAGACTGAGAAATAAGGCAAAGCAATGAGTGGGCAGATCCTTTCAATGTCATATGGAGGTGAAGGCCATCCAATGATCATTTGGGGAAAAGATCTTGGTTCACCTTATTATTTATTATTGATTAAAGGTTCCAGACAATAAAGTTACACGTTACCTTGTAAAACTGCGTCTGAAAGAGGTGCAAATAATGTTTGGTGAATAATATAACCCAAAGGTTCAGTTTAAATCTGTATTATAAATTAATCAATTTTTAAGTAAGTCCATTAATCTTATCTTAGTAATGCCCCCAAACACCTAGTTTCTCACATGCTCTTTGGTCTGGTTTTAATATCTAACTTGTTTGCTTAATAATTATGCATTGAATAAAATCTCTATTGTGTGTCCATTTTATATTTGTATGAAAATCATAATTTTATCCTTAAAAAGTATAGTTTAACAAATAAAAAGGCGAGTATGTCACATATCTGAAAGTGCTGATATACTAATGCTTTGCTTTCAAATTTTCAACATGTTATGGAAAATCTAGCATTAGCACAAGAAAAAAATCTATTTGTATTTAGCTTTAACTATAAATATTTCATTAACTATCATCTGTCCAACAGGAGAAAAGCAGGCATCTCCAAATTTGCTCTTTTATCAGTAATTCCAAATTTTTCAGGGACTAGACTATACTTGAATTTTTTTCTCTGAAAAAGCTCAAAATTCTGTTTTAAAACTTTGAGGTTTATTGATAATATTTCATCAACTCTATTTAGCCTGCTTGTGTTGTCCCTCACTGGCAAACAACAAAACTAATTGTATATCAGACAAATATACATTTAAAATTCATTCTTTTAAACTAGAATTGAATCAGAAATAGGGTTATTTCCTAGTTGTCTAACTGTGAGTCACTCTTATAAGCTATGCGTTCTAATTAGGTCCTCTGTACAGCATAGATCACTAGTGGTCTTAATACATGGTATACCCAAAACCAATATTTGTTTATTTAAAAGATTTTCTCATTATTCAAGTATAATCACTTTTTCTTAAGTGCTGTTAACCTTCCACTAGACGACATCTGGATTTCATACCCTAGGATAGTTTCTCTAAGCTGATCTCTGCTGCTTCCCATGCCCCATATTAATTTTAGGTTCTAATCTCAGCATCATGGCATTAAGTGAACTACTGGTTTTGAAGCTGGTTGCAAACCTAACTAAATCGTTGAAGTGTTTAAATGTTTTTGCTACAAATTAGAGCCGATTCAGTTATCCTTACCATATTGGTATTCTCTCTTCCTTTCAATTCAAATGAGTGGGAGAAAAGGGAGGGGTCTACAAATAATTCAAGAATTCTTCACAGCCCCAGCTTTCTCACAAATACGCCAGCACGTAAGACTCAGTCATTCGATAAACATTCCCTGAGGGTCTGCTATGTGTTCTACTCCAGGCTCCTGGACAGAACCATGAAGATAATGGACAAAGTCCTCTGCTGCCATGAAACTTCTATTTTACTGTGAGGCAATACACTTAGTAAACAAGGAAATAATTTCTTATGGTAGAAAGTGGTAAGTGACATGGAGAAAAAGTCTAGAAGGAACACAGAGTGAGTGGTGAGAAGGGTTGCAGTTTTAAACGGGGTGGTCGGGGAAGGTCTCAATGAGGAGATGATGCCCTTTGAGCTAAAAGTGGATGAGGAAGTATGATTATTAATTTTGTTTGTCAATCTGGCTAGGCTATGGTGCCCAGTTGTTGGGTCAAATACGAGTTAAAGTGTTGCTATCAAGATATTCTTTAGATGTTAATAACATTTACAATCAGTAGATTCAGTAAATCAGATCACCCTCCTACATCTATAGGTAGGTCTCATTCACTCAGTTGACGGACTTATGACCAAAGGTGAAGGTTTCCTAAAGCAGCAATTTTGCCTCAAGACTAAAACACAGTTTCTCGCCTGCCAGTCTGCCCTACAGATTTCAGATGTTAAATCTAAAACACAGTTTCTCGCCTGCCAGTCCGCCCTACAGATGTTAAGACTGTAACATCAACCCTCACCTGAATTTCCAGCCTGCCTACTTGTCCTATGGATTCTGGACTTGCCAGTGCCCACAGCTGTGGAAGCCAATTCCTTGAACACCATCAATCTCTCTCTCTCTCCCTGCCCTGCTCCCCCACACATGTATATATATATACACACACACACACACACACATACAACATGTATGTATGCATAACACCTACTTTAAATATTATATACATATTTATTATATGTACCTAGATATTTGTCTAGATATATGAAAATATAGACATAATCTCCCATTGGTTCTGTCTCTCTGGAGAACCTGACTACAGCAGGGAGCAAGCCATGTAAATGTCAGTGGATGTTCGCTGCAGGTGAAGAGTCAGGGCCAAGGCCCTGTGGCAAGGAAAGGCAAGGAGGCCACCATAGCCAAAGTGGATTGAGCAAGGGCAAGAGTTTAGTGGAGGATAAAGTCAGAGGGGTAACAAAGAACAGATCACACAGGACTTTGCAGGCCATTTTAAGAACTTTTCTTTTTTTCTCAGCAACATAGGGAATCATCACAGATTTAGTGCAGAACATTGCTGGCTGTTGTGTTAATGGGGACAGAGGTAGAATCCAGGAGACTGACTAAAAGGACAGAACAATGATCGAGACAAGAGACAAAGATGACTGGACTACACTAGAAGGGGGAGGATGGCAGCAACTGTCACATTCTGGAAATACTGTGAAGGTAGAGATAAAAGGATTTCCTGATAAGTTGCATGAGGTATGAGAAAAAGGGGTCAAAGATGATTCCAAGTTTTTTGGCCTGAGTATCTGGAGGGACTGTACTATCAAGAATTGGCCTGCCCTGACCACTTGACTGAAAACTGTAACCACCCACATCTCCCTCTTACATTCTCCATCCCGCTTTTTCTGATCTATTTTCTAAGTAACAATGATCACCTTCCATAATTCAGTTACATGGCATGTTTACTGCTTATTGTGGGGCTATCGCAAATAAAATGTAAGTTCCACCAGGGCCTGGCAGAAATATTTTTGTCTCATTTTATCCCAATGTATCCCAAGTAACTAAGATAGCCTGGCTGTATAGTTGGTGTTCAATAAATATTTGTTCAATTAATTTGTGGATAGAAAAAATGAGGCTCGAAAGTGTTAAGTATCATGCCTACTATTACGTTTAGAAAACAGCAATCATGAATTTGGTCACAGGTCTTTCTGGCTCTGTACACATTTTGTTCACTACTTCCTAATCACCTCTTGGCTAAAGTATTAAAGTCAACATCCCTCTTGAAACAGAGATTTTGCCCTGTAGTTTTATTGTTATTATATTGTGTTGTTCTGGGAAATACAGAAGGAGGTGTTCCTGAATGCCAACTAATAGCTATTTATCAACCACACTTCTGGAATTATCAGATTGCAGAGGCAGCAGGATGTAAGAGAGCGAGCTCAGGCTCCGGAGGCAAGGCCATGATTTGAGGTCTGCCTCAGCCACTTATTTGTTATGTAATCATGGTGAAATAAATAATCTTGTCTAAGCCTCAATTTCCTCTTCTATGAAATTAACTTCATGATATCATCTGCCCTTACAAGGTTTGTAGGATTATTGTCAGAATATAATTCAACAAGGTCAGTCAATTGTTATTAGCCTTAAAAATATTTCATTAAGATGGCTTCACTTTGGTGAACTTGAAGTGGAAAGCAATTAAACCCGCTCAATCTGCTATGTCAATATTTTCATCAAAAGGTATCCTATTTTTAGAGGTATATTTTGCCTTCCAAACCCATCGGCTTTACTTCTTTCTCCATGCTTTTTCCACTTTGTCAACATCTCTGATGAAACCATCAGGGTTTTCTCAAGAAGAAGCCTTTGTGTGTTCATCACTAACCCTTTCTTCTGACTCAGCCCAGGCGTTTATGAACGTGCCTTCTTCTTGAACTTGAGACGTATTCTTCATGAACCTGAGAATACGTCTGAGGCTTTTCTTCCAGTCCCATAACTCTCCAGAAAATCACTTAAACTTTATTCTAAAGCATTGCATATGACAATGTGTCCAGTCTCAGGAAAAATCTATATACAAGTATACAACCTTCCTAGAAACCCAGAGGACAAAAATAAGGCATGTTATCCTTTCAACCACTGCCCTCTGTGCAAATGTAACTCTTTGGCCCCTAATTTATAGCACACTGTATCTTCATTCATTTAGAGATTGTTCCTCGTGATCTAATTCCAGCTTGGTTCTTACAACTTACTGTCATTCTTGTTACACAATTTCTCTCAATTTTTCTCATTTTATTGTTTCTCTCTAATTTCTCAACCTTTCCTCTACTTTTTAATATACGTTTAAACAGTACTAGCATTTTAAAAACATATATATTAATATTTACAAATACAAATTTTCTTTGCAGAATTACAAAAATAATTGTTAAAATTAGTATGGGATATAACTTCTTGAATGCTGGAAGAGTTCACTATCTTGATGTGGGAGGTGGCCACACAAGGTGTATGCATAAACATTCATTAAACTGTAAAATGAGGATGTGTGCAGTTTATTGTATACATGTTATGAGAGAGATATAGAGAGACTGTCCATCAAATATTGGAAGTTTTTGCTAAACAGAAAGGAAAGGGAAAGAATCTTATGCTCAAAGCAATCAACAGCACTATAACTACAAGTCCATTGAAAAGAACTAAAATTTTCATACTACTGAAGCAAGTTAATCAATAAATTCACTAAAGAATGATTTAGACAACTAAGTTCCAGTCTCTCTAAAAACCTTAAGTACTAGAAAAAACTCGTGGCTTTTGTCTGAAATCTATTTCTATTCATGATACACAGTGATCATACAAATAAGTACAATATGATGAATTTCTTGTATCAAATACACTTTATCTGCCAGATTGTATACTAGATACTTAAAATTATATTTTTTCATGCATTTAGTCATTCAATTAAATATCAGTTGGAACCACTATGTGCCAATAACTCTGCTGTATACTTAGGAATGTATTATATGATTTTGTGGGGAGGAGTTTTTTCTCCCTGGTTATATTTTGCTTAGTACAACATTAAAACTCTTCTAGATCTGGCAGTTTGAGAAACTCATGCACTGCTTCAAGAAAAGTCTATAAAAGTTATCATTAAAATTAAACAGTTCACATATTAAGGATGAATATGTAATGTAAAATGAATAATATGTTCCATCTAGATAACATGCATTCAGATATTTGGGATTAAGAGGTCTATGTGTAGAGAAGAAAATGTTAAAATTATGCTGGCTTTTTTTAAACTATACAAAACACTTTTTCAGCTCACAGAAATCTATGTAAAGAAAGGAACGGGGTACAGTATGTCCAAGTTAATAATTTACCTTTGCCATTTTATCTGCCAATTGCAGCCGGCCATCAAGTTCCCTTCTGATCTGGGCTGCTTGTTCGTCTGCATTATCCAGCTTAAAAACAAAACAGAAGTTACACATATTGTGATTACTTAATAGCAGTGACCCACAGACCAAGGCAAAGATTAAATGACTCAAAAATGTTTAATAGACCGTATCAGATATCTATTACAAAGAGAATACAGGAGGCTGTTTAATTAGATTGGCAGACTAGATAAATTTATTGGGTAGTTTCTCATTGTGGTTTTATTCACAAAACCACAAAATCAGGAAATTGGATTTCTTGATCATTAGGTCAGTCCTAAATAGTTCCAGATATATGAACCTCTTGTTTTGTTCTTTCAAGTTCTCACCATGTATTTCTGGAGGACGAGATGCTGAGTAATGCTTCACTTCTTTCTTTGTACTTTAAAACATTCCCTTTGTTTTAATAATACGTTTGTATTAGTACTAAACTATAAAAGTACTCTTTGATTGACTAACTTTCCACCACTTAAGTCTTCATATACTCCTCATTCTAATACCAATAGACTAATACTGCCAAGAAACCCTTCCATTCTTTTAAGGATTGGCACCATATTAGAAATCCATTCTCCTGTTCTAAATTTGACTGAAAACAAGAAAAGTGTGCTCTCATCTTTTTTTTCTTTTTAAGAAATCTCCCATTTACATGGAGAATTATTTTCACTTTATGAACTAATCCTTAACTTTTTCTATAACTTATTTTAACTTTGCTCATACCTTTTCACCCATTCACTCAATATTTATTAGTTCCTTTATAAAAATGTTAAAGTGAGGAGGTTAAGTGTTAATTTTCTCTTGACTTTAGTTTTTTCTCCTTTTGCACTCTCATCACGAAGAAGCCTAAACCGCACAATGCACTTTAGTAAAGGATCATCTAAAGATTTGATTAAGATTGAGAATAACATTAAACACCAAGGAGAATACGGTTTACTTGTCCCTTTCCTGAAGAACAGCAAATTGACCAGGTTACATTTTTAAAAACATCCTCAAATAAGAAAGTCCTCAAAAACATGAGTAGAAACAAACCAGATTAACACTATGGTGATAAGGCAATTTATATGAAGAGTCAAAAAAAAAAAAAAAAAAAAAAAAAAAAAAAAAGAGGGAAAAATGTTTCTACAAGAGAAAACCAAAAGTCTGGAGGTGAGGAGGTAAAACTGGACACACACAGTGGTTATTTTGGAATGAAATACCAGAAGAGGCAGGGTGAGGGACAGGACTGGAGAGAGAAGCAGGGCAACTTCATAAGTTACTCTTCACAAGCCACATTAGGGAATCTGGAGTTAGTTCCTACAACAAGGAGACTTCCTTGAGAGGTTTAAAGTGGAGGAGTGATATGATCAGACATAAACTTTGGAAAGGAAAGATCACTCTGTCTCCAGCACAAACAATAGGTCAGAGAGACAGAAGGAAGTCTTCTTATTTTCTTTATAGATATACACAAAATGTTAAATTGAGGATATGCATATTAATTTTCTCTTGGGAAAAAATACACAAAAAGCCTGAGATTATCTGTCTAAAATATGTTTCCAAGTTGATTTTTAAAAAACCAATTTCATTTTAAAATAAGTTAAAAAAACAGGCAAGATTTTCTTAAAATAAGTCGTTGTTATAAAGGAGTTTCTTTCTATGTCATCTCATAGAACTAATAAACTTAATTTTAGTTGATGAATATGATTCAAAATCGAACAGAAACAAGTTTCTCTTCACTGTGTATAAAACCAAAATGATTCAAATTAAAAACTAATGTAATTGGCCAGGTACGGTAGCTCATGCCTGTAATCCCAGCACTTTGGGAGGCCGAGGCGGGTGGATTACTTGAAGTCAGGAGTTCAAGACCAGCCTGGCCAACACGGTGAAACCCTGTCTCTAATAAAAATACAAAAAAATTAGCCTGGTGTGGTGGCACACATCTGTAATCCTAGCTACTTGGGAGGCTGAGGCAGGAGAATCACTTGAACCCTGGATATTCAGGTTGCAGTGAGCGGAGACCACACCATTGTACTCCAGCCTGGGCAACAAGAACCAAACTCCGTCTCAAAAAAAAAAAAAAAAAACTAATGTAATTATGAAGAAAAGTAATATGTAATAAGTACATGTTCCAGGTTAACTGAAATCTCTCATTCCAAGCTCCTAAAAATTAAACCATAAGAACACTGAAACTATAATAATACCTCAAATGTACTAAATGTAATATAAAATATATTATGGCCTTTACTTAAATGCTGATACATATTTCTTCAAAAGAAATAAAAAAGTTACTTGCATATAAAGGAATTATATTTTTTCTCACAGCTCCAACAAAAATAGCATTTAATATCTTAAAACAAAAGGCCAGTTTTTCAAACTTCACTAGAAACGCTATCATCTTTTTGTATTTATATAGATTAACAGCACTTACTTAATTGTAAGTGAAATTGTTTGAGTTATTTCTAAATTTTGGTAGTTTTGTTTGTAAAAGACAATCTACAACTACATATTTTTTTCTTTTTGTGGAGATGGAGTTCTCGCTATGTTGCCCAGGCTTGTCTTGAACTCCTGGGCTCAAGTGACCCTCCTGCCTCTGCCTTCCTAAGTACTGGAATTACAGGCATGGGCCACCGCACCTGGTCTGTCTTTAAAAAAATATTAGTGGCTTGATCACATTTGTCTGAAAAAAAAAGGAAGCAAAAAACAAACAAACAAACAAAAAACAATGTAGAGCATTGGGGCACTACATTGTCTTTTTTTTTTTTTTTTATTTCAGATTCAAGGGGGTACACATGCAGGGTTGTTACATAGGTATACTACATGTTGTTGAGGTTGGGGATATGGATGGTCCCATTACCCAGGTGGTGAGCATAGTATCCCATATAGTTTTTCAGCTCACATTTCCCTTGGTCAATCATTCCCCAGTGTACTAATCCCATCTTTGTATCTACGTGCATTCAATGTTTAGCTTTTATTTACATATGAGAATGTGTGGTGTTTGGTTTTATGTTCAGGTGTTAATTTGCTTAGGATAATGGCTTCCAGCTGCATCCACATTGCTACAAAGAATATTATTTCATTCTTTTTTAGGGTTGTATAATAATCCATGGTATATATGTGTATGTGTAGAGATATTTATATTATAAAATATTTTATGTATCTATATAATATTTTCTTTATCCAACCCACTATTAATGGACACCTATATTAATACCAGGTCTTTGCTATTGTCATTAGTGTGTCAATGACCATATGGGTGCAAGTGTCCTTTTGATAGAACGAGTTATTTTTCTTTGGGTACATACCCAGTAGTAGGATTTCTAGGTGTAACAGTAGTTGTGTTTTAATTTCTTTGAGAAATCTTTAAACTACTTTCCACAGTGGCTAAAGTAATTTGGATTACCACCCACAGAATATAAACATTGCTTTTCTCTGCAGCCTCACCAGCATCTGTTGGTTTTTTTTGTTTGTTTGTTTGTTTGTTTGTGGTTTTTTTTTTTTTTTTTTTACTTTTTGATAATAGCCATTCTGACTGCTGTGAGATGGTATCTATCTCATTGTGGTTTTCATTTGCATTTCTCTGATGATTAGTGATGTTGAGCATTTGCTCATGTTTTTTGGCCATTGTACATCTTTTGAGAAGTGTCTGATCATGTCCTTTGCCCATTTTTTAATTGGATTGATTTTGCTTAAGTTCCTTGTAAATATCTGTATATTAGATCTTTGTCAGATGCATAGTTTGCAAATATTCTCTCCCATTCTGTAGGCTGTGGGTTGACTGTTGGTTATTTCTTTTGCTGTGCACAATCTCTTTAATTAGGTCCCACTTGTCAATTTTTGTTTTCATTGCAATTGCTTTTGTCGACTTAGCCATGAGTTATTTGCCAAAGCTGATGTCAAGAAGGGTATTTTGTAGTATTTCTTTTAGAATTTTTATACTTTGAAGTCTTACATTTAAGTCTTTAATCCACCCTGAGTTAATTTTTGTATATGATGAAAGGTAGGGGTCTAATTTCAATCTTCTACATATGGCTAGCCAGTTATTCCAGCACCATTTATTGAAGAGGGAGTCCTTTCCCCATTGCTTATTTTTGTTAATTTTATCAAAGATCAGATAGTTGTAGGTACGCATTTCTGAGTTCTCTATGCTGTTCCATTTGTCTATGTGTCTGTGTTTGTACTAGTATGATGCTGTTTTGGTTACTTTAGCTTTATCGTATACTTTGAAGTTGGGTAGTGTGATGTCTCTGGCTTTTCTCTTTTTGCTTAGGATTGTTTTGCCTATTTGGGCTTTTAGGTTCCATGTGAATTTCAGAATAGATTTTTCTAACTCTGTGAAAAATCGTGTTGCTATTTTGATAGGGAGAGCACTGATTCTATAAATTGCTTTGGGCAGTATGATCATTTTAATGATACTGATTTTTCCATTCCATGAATATGGAATATTTTTCCACTTATTTGTTATATTTGTCATTTTCTAAGCAGTATTGTGTAGCTCTGCCTATAGAGATCTTTCACCTCCTTGGTTAGATGTATTCCTAGGGTTTTTTGTTTGGTGTGTTTGTCTATTGTAAATGGGATTGTGTTCTTGATTTGGCTCTCAGCTAGAATTTTACTGGTGTATAGAAATGCCATTGATTTTTGTATGTTGATTTTGTACTTTGAAACTTTACTGAGGTCATTTATCAGTTCAAGAAGCCTTTTGGCAGTCTTTAGGGTTTTCTATATATAGAATATCATTAACAAAGAAAGATAATTTTACATCCTCTTTTCCTATATGGACGCCTTTTATTTCTTTCTATTGCCTGATTTCTCTGGCTAGGCTTCTAGTACTATGTTGAACAGGAGTGATGTGAGTGGGCACTCTTGTCATGTTCCAGTTCTCAAGGGGAATAATTCCAGCTTTTCTGCATCCAGTATGATACTGGCTGTGTGTTTGCCATAGATGGCTCTTATTTTTATGATACGTTTCTTCAATGCCTAGCCTGTTGAGGGTTTTTATCATAAAGGAAAATTGGACTTCATTGAAGGCTTTTTCTGCATCTATTGATATTATGTGG